TCAAAAAACTAAAATTCTTACAAATTTCACCAAATATACTCTAATTCAATGATAATATCATTTCGCTGAAAGTAAAAAGTATTAAGTTCGAATCGCATGACATGCGAGTGCGATAGAATAAGAGATGCGGAATAATTATCTTTCGTTATATAATCAATAATAATAATAATAATAATAATAATAATAATAATAATAATAAAAGAAGAAGAAAAAAAAGGCATTTCTTTTCCTTGAAACATCTCTGAAGTAGGAGGGTGGACATTTTTTTCTCAAGTGGTAGGGTGGGGACAGGGTGGGCTTCTTCTCTAACTTTTTCGTCTCTTATTCATCCAATTATTAATTAATTATTACCGTGTGAAGGTGTACTTGATTACGAGGAAAGTTTGCTTTTTAAATTTTTTTTATTATTATAAAGATATTTATATATTTTAATATCTTATTAAAAAATATTTTTAATTATTATTTTGAACACAATTCTTAATTAATAATTTTTTTATATTTTTTAAAAAAGTTTTTTTTTTCTCAATTTTCTTACTTAAAACTTATATGATAATTTTTTACTGATTTTTTTATATCAATTTTTTTTATCAAATGTAATAAAATAACAAGTGAAATAAATTTTAAAAAAGACTTCATTATAAATCTTATCAATTTTCCATTCCACAGCCGACACTCAACGTACTGAGTGTGGAACTTTCTTTCCCTGTCTCTATTAATCGAAGTGAGTTGAATTTTCAGTACCATAGCATTGAAAGAAAATGGCTTTTCTTACCTTTGAACATTCCTAAAGCAGAGTGTGGAAACTTTTTTGCTCGAATGGTACTAGGAGGGTCGGGACTGGGGTGGGCTTTTCTCTAATTTTCTCATCTCTAATTCATCCATCATTAATTAATTACTACTAGACTAAAGAAGTATTTGGTTAGAAAGAAAAGTTTGCTTTTAATTTTTTTATTTATAAGGTTATTTATATTTTTTTATTTTAATATTATAAAATTTTTTATATAAAACTCTTAACATCTATGAATCATATTAAATTATAATTAATTCAAAATTGAGTTGTGTTAAATTTGATTAAGGATGATACTTTTTTGACAGATATTTTTTTATTCACAAATTTTGAATTTAAAATTTTACTTAAAAAAATCAATTTTTTTTCAATCAAATTAACAGATCGCTAGTCTTAATACCACAATAAAAAGAAGATAAAAGTGATATTTTTAGTTTTTATTTTTTTAACATAATTTTCAATTAATAAATTTTTCTTTTTACACTTTCTGAAGGAAAAAAGTTCTCTAAACTTTCTTTATGTAGAGCTTGGTTGAGAACTTTCTTACTAATTTTTTCTGTGTTAATTTCCTACTAAATACAAATAAAAAAAAAAAAAGTTAACAACTCACTAAAATTTTAAAAATATTCCATTACAAAATTTATCAATTTTTTATACAGCACTGGACATTCTTCCATGATCTAACTTGCTTGCTAGCTAGAAATTGTTGTTCCTGGGTTTAGCTAATGGAGACCCATCTCCCCTCAACCCAACACCTGAATGATGATCTACGTTGCTCGTGGTCCTGCCCGAGTCAGATTAATGAACATGCAGGCAATTTAGCAATTAAGAAAAACTCTGTTTGGGGCTTCACTACTTAAGCCCAACAAATTTTTTAGTTTCCAAACATTCATGCTCAAAGTCCATAATAAATGTCAAGACAAGACTGCAACAACTCCACTTAGAATTGTACAAAAAAATTGCGGCAACTTCTGTACAAATGGACTAAATTGAGACTGCTGGCAGGAATATTTGAAATTTGGTACGTAATGTTCGTGAGGGTTTGTCATTTAGTTTGAACATATCATTAAAAATTATTCTCACAGAAAAAGTTCCAACATGAAAAATTATTAGCATAACATATGCCTCTCCCGGGTCAAGAAGCTCAAATCAATATAAAAATGTCAAGGAAAACCAAATATTAGTTTCTTTTAACTAATATCTAATCATGCATTGTCAATAACCTAAATAATTAATAACCTAAATAACTCAGTTATAATCTCTTTTTAAGAAAAGTAAAATATTCCATGATATACAGGGAGGATGAGTTAAAATATGAAAAAGAATTGTTTTTCATTGCACAACCCAAAATAAAAAAATTAAATAAATAAATATTCAACAATGTATTATTGTTTCAATTTCAGTCACTTCCTGGGTTTAATGAAACAATAATCAAACAGTGTTCAAGTGTCCCCATCCAGACAATTAAAATACATATCCTGTGCAGCCGTGTCCGGATGGAAGTTCTTTCTCAGACTTCTCCTCTCTTTATTAGGATTCAGATGACAATACCATGAAATTCAGAGCATCTTCTCCTCAGCATGTCATTTCTGGAGAAGTGGGATGAACAACCTGAAAATCCAAACGCAACCATTAAGCATTCTTCACAGTTTACAATAATGAAATCAGACCATGACAGAAGATTTTGGAACTTAAAAGAGAGGCCTTAGCAAAGTTAAGACTCAAAAAAAATCATCCTTAAGATGGAATGAAGATACTGATCATACTTGGTAGGTTTCGTAATGAACTAATTTTACAAACCAAAAAAGAATAAAAAAAAAAAAAATCAGTACTCACCTCCAAAGATGAAATGCTGAGGATAGATGTGGTTGCTGAAAAATATTTACAACTTAACTTGAAACTGAACCTGCAGCACAAGAAGCTGGCATGTTCCCACCATTCAAATGGTTTTCTCCACGAGTTTCAGTATTTTGTTGGTTGTTTTCCTCTGTAACTGGAGCTTCACTGGCTCTGTTGTCTCCTGTGGTTTCAAGATGTTCCGTAATGTGAGATACACTAGCAATTCCTGCATTAACTTCTCCCTGAACTTCGGAACCAAGATCAGACGTTGAAGAGGTACGGGAGAACAGCCTCTCTCTCCACCCTCTTGTACTCTTTGAGATTGATTCCTTATACCTGAAATTCAATAAGCATTATCAAGGCATTGGTAGAGGATAAAAAATATTTACAGATTTTAGTGTCTGCGTCCATGTGCATGTGCATGCTTGTGTGTTTCTCCAACTTGTCACACCTGTTAAGAGTTACCATAAGAAGGATTTCCCTACAGTACCTTGTTGACATTGCATTAAATCTCGATTTTAGAGAGCCTGAAAATGACTGGAAATCTGATGGTCTGGCTCTCTCTTGATTTGACAGAAAGGAATTACTAGAAGTGCTTCTACAGTCATAAGATACATAATCAGAACGCCAATGCAAACACCACAAAAAAATACATCCAAAAAATGACAAGAAGATTAGGTACCGATTATTTAAGTACAATCCCCTTCCATGCATTGGACTGACATAAGATCCAGAGGCAGATGAACGATTATTGTTAATTTGACCCAAAGGTAACTGTGAGACGTGCTGTGATGATTCAGTCACACTGGAAGGTAGCGGGGCCGATGGACTAGCTACTGCTATTCCAGCTGGTTCAGTTTCCCCTCCTATGTGAGTAAGAGGGGATGAAGCAGGACCTGGACGTGCTGCATCAGTATGAGCAGAAAATACCAATAAGCGTTGACGACCATGAGCAGACAATCGACTTCTCTGGCCCTCCCTCCTACCATGGTGGTGAGACCTTCCCATAGCAGCAGCAACTGCCAAGTGCTGAATTATTCGCTCTTCCAGGTCAGGATCATTTGCACCGACTGGTAGCTACAGTATTGTGTAACATGCATAAGTATTTTCTACCAGATGGATGCATAGTCTAAAGTTTTACCAACCAACAAATAAATATATAATGAAGACTAAGGAGTAGTAATGGACAGAGTACATGTTGCAATTCAAAATCACCCAGGGTGGGATGGTGAAATATCATAGCGTTTCTTGATGGAGTAGCCCTTAAGCGCCTTTCTCTTTCTACTGCTTCAAGCAATTCTTGGCTGCCACCATGGACACATTAGCTTAACTCCCTAAATGTCATAAAGAGAAAGGTAACATACATATATACAAAATCAACCTGGTTGGTTCCTTCAGGCTAATATCTTGCCAACACATGGGACATTGAGAGCTTCTCTGGCACCTGGAAAATTTGATCTAGCATTAAGTATTAACTATATTTTGTCACCACCTTTTCTAACAACACTTCAGACTTCAAAAACAAGCATATATTAACCATCCAGATCTAGCTTTTGCAACATGAGGAAGATACTGTTATTGCATTTAATAAATGCATTTTGAACCAAAGGACAACTGGGCAACTCAATAAGCAAATATATCTCTATGAAACATATTGCAGTGTAGGACATTAAAAGTTTTCTAAAAAAATGTAATAAGCATGTTAACTTTCCATTTTTATGTTTATTTTGCACCACTCAGGTGATGACCTCTCCCTATACAAGCTTCCCTCTTCAGCTCAACTGGTTTCAATTATCAGAGACCTTACCAGAATTTCTAGAACTAACTTTGAACCAACATAACAGCTAAACTGTTGATCATTCAAATGACGAGAAGAAAGTTTTTGGAACATATAGTCCAAAATGAATCAAATAGGTGGGAGAAAAACAGTAATGATTAGGGAATTGAAGACAAAAAAATACAACAGACTTAGATAATGAGGTAATTCAAAAAGATCAATAAAAGTGAAGTCAAAATTTAACACTTATATGAATTATACCATTCAAGAATGCACTGGAGGTGAAACTCATGCTTGCAATTAGTCAGCTGAAATCCAAGAAAAATTAAAATTTATGTCGAGACCCATACTACAAAAACAAATGAAACTAGTGCATAACATCCATATGTCTAAGGGGTGAAAATATATGAGATTGCGGATATAACTGAAGGGGTATAAAAATTTATAGAAATTACTGTTGAAGGATCACTTTCAGAAAACTCCTCAAGGCAAATGCTGCAAGCATCATCACAGGCATCCTGAATCCCACCTTCCACAAAAGCAGCAGCTGATGTCATATGATCATCAGCATTCTTTGCTTCCTCCATCCGTCCAACCTTCAAAAAAAAAAAACAAAAACAAAAAACCAAACCAATAATAGCAATTTAGGCACTACATACTGGAGTTTAGTTTTCCCAGAAATTGATCAAATAACCTGCTAGGCTTAGCTTTTATTGATGCAACAGAATACCAAAGACAGCAATGTCTGAGTTTACAAATTTTATATGTACACTAAAACCATCTTCTTTCTGTCTTCCATTTATGCTTGAGGTTAACGAATTTTACACTGAGAGTTTTCACATGTTATGCTTAAGGTAAACTAAAAAAGACCTTACCAGCTGGTTCTTTTGTCAATTACCCATCAAAGAGAAGAATACAGCATTATCATCAAATTAGGACCTAAACTGATGATATTAAAAATTTTCTTGTCCTCTTGTCGAACTGAAAATCATACTTTACGTATCAAAATAGACACTATCTAGCAAAAACACCACCGAGCTCACCCAGATTCTAACTCACCAAAAAAAAAAAAAAAACACTAAACTCATCCCATTAACAGGTATGGATGTTGCATTTCAGACCTAGATAAACAGAAACAAAACAAGAGAAAAATCAATAAATGAAACCCAGAATAGAAAAGGATCTTGAAATTGAAAAAAAGAAGACAAAAATACACACATCCACATCTAATTCATCAATAAAAAAAGGAAATAAAAGAAAAGCAATCAACTTTAAACGAAAAAGGATATGGGTTTTACCTCCATGAATGGAAATTGGAATTGGTCCTGGGAAATGGGTCAACAAATTGAGGGAATGCACATGAAAATGAAAAGGAGGAGGCTTAACTATGAATTCCCTCTTGTATTAATCTATTTGAAGGGAATGCTAAGATCCATTATCAGAAATAACAAACCCTGCATTTGAAAGAAGAAGATGATTACATGATGATAAAAAAGAGGGGTAGAGAAAGAAAAAGACACAGGAGACATAGCCACCTTTACCTTTCATTATGGGTTTGTTTTCCTTTGTTTGTTGTGTTTGTTGTCCTTCCACCTATTTAAGACCCAACACTACCCCGTCCCCACCATTCTCCAATCAGAAGCAAGAGCATCCACTTTTAAGAGATTCTAATTTTTATACATGAAACAACAAATTCCAAATTCCAAGTTCTTTTGGATTCATAGTCCTCAACTTTTAGGGTCACTAGCACATTTGTCACCAACCTTTTGAAATTGAGCAATTGAATCCTTATCATTTTAAAGGCGCATTTGTTTTGACTTATTGAAAACGGCTATCAATTGTTGCCTTTAATCAAATAGGTTAAATATTTTGAATTATAAATATAAATAATTATTAATCATCAAATATCAATTATTAGTTATTAGTTATTTAAAAAAAATTAATCCAAACAGTCTATAAGTTTTCAATGTAGTCCTTTTTGTATATCTATTCTGTCATTTTATATGGAAAAATTTGGCCTAGAAAGTCAATATAGAATGTTTTGAGAACTCTTTATGGAAAGAAAATACTGTAAAATCCAAATAAAAATAAAGTTTTATATTGCATCTTGTAAAACATAAACTTTACATGTTAGATTACGCGGCATGTTTTCTCATGCTGGAGAGTCCAAACTGACATGGCACTCTAAATGAGCTCTCTGATTATGTCAATCATTAGCTTTGTTGTATTCTTTATCTAAATTGACAAATTGATTGTAGAAAAAAAAAAAAAAAAGGAGAAGAAGAAGAGACTGTATTCTTGGTTTTAAAGGTTGATGAGGACTTAGCAAGAAATAATCCTTAAAGACAAAACAATTTCTTTTTTGCATGGAAGAGATATGAATTGTTTAGAAAAAAAAAATTATTATCGCATCTTATCTCATATCACTAAATATATTCTGGGAATGGTGGCCTCATATCGGCTGTTTTTATTTTGTTCATTTAGGTATTTTTTAAAATAGAATTTCCACTTTTTATTTCAATAATTTAGTACATTCTACGATATGTTGACAACTCCTATTCCAATTGTGGCATACGGTTATTGAAAATGATATAATATAATATCATATTATAATTATAAATTTATAATTTTACATAATATTATAATTATAATATTATCATATAATTATCATTACATAGAAAACAGAAAATGCTAAAGAGATGCTAAATTAAACGCTATATATATATACCGCTAATTGTTTTTTAAAAGTGATTTCTAATTAAAAGAAGTATCATTGGAACTTTTTCTGTATTGCGCAATTTGGGAAAGTTGGCGAACAAATAAATCCCAAAATTCATTTACTAAAGTTTAAGACTTGTACGAGTCATTTCTATGTAAACATAAAGCCACTTGAAATTGAAAGGCATGTTCAATTGTTGGTTGTTGAAAGAAAATAGAAAAGTATTGATGCTTATGTTACTATGTTTTGGTTCCATCACATATTTAATGCCAGATCTCAGATGCTGAATGGACGAAAAAAAGAGAAGGGTTGGTCAGCTACTTTAGAGCTTCCAAGTTCCATCTTTATTTTCTATCTTTTTAATATGTATTTTTAGTTATTTGAGATTATGTCATATTTTTCTCGTTTTTAAACCATACCACTCTACTCATTTTTTTCACTTTCATTTTGAAGAAAACAAAATAGGAGTTATTGGATAAAGTAACAACTCTTAACATAAGAGGGTGAGATTTAAGTGGTATAGTCTTATGCATTATAGACTAAATCATAATTTTTTATATTTTTAATAATTAAGATATATAACTATACGATAAGATATAATGCAACACATGTTATTTCTTTTAATAGAAAATTTCAAGGGTGAGATTTAAGTTGTACAATCTAATGCAACAAGGTTAAGTTACAATTTTTTATATTTTTAATAATTAACATCTATAATTTCACAATAAGATATAACACAACAGATGTTATTTCATTTAACAGAAGACTTCAATTGCAGTGGTTTCATAATTTAAAGAATTTATTTGATGAATATAGAAGATGAGAAAGTACTTCGCATAATCTATAAAAATGCAACTAATAATTTTATACTCGTTCCCCCACCCTCCCTTTTTTTCTTTTAATAGTCAAGGTGTTTTTTCATGTTCATGTATACTTGCACATATCTTAAAAATAATTTCCTTTTAATTCAGTTAAATACAAGTCATCTACTCCAAAATTATACTATTCATAAAAAATTATTTCCTTAATGTCTCTCTAAAAATTTAACTTTAATTAGCAAAATAAAAAACAAACCTCATTACCAATTAAACTACTATTCTTTAATTTGCCTCTTTTTCAATATAACAGAAAGGAAATGGTCGAAATTTTAAATCAAAGTATATGTGCAAAATGGGTTTGGGTTGCTTGGTATGTGGTGGACTGGAAATCTAGAGCCGAAAATTGAAAATACCCATTGGACTTATTTTGGGCCAGTAAGATACACATTGGGTTAGCTTGAAGAGCATTTTAACAGAATAGATCACTACAAAGCCCAGCATTGCACCAGCTCAGTCCATCAATGACGCAAATTTTCTTTCCGTATATTAAGGACACAAACTTATTTCGATTATGCAATTGAAGACAATATCTTCTATTAAATGCAATTAAGAACACTATCTATACAAGTGATAAATAATTTTTGGTAGGTTAGATGATAAACTATACAATAAAAGATATTACTCCCCTTTCCAAACCCCTCGCCACCCATCTCAAAATTTAATTTTGAAATCTCTAATTTAAAAATTAAATTCTTAACTATTAAACCATCATCTCAAAAACAATGTGATAAATAATAATAAAACCATAATGTTGTTGGTGAACACAAACTTACAGAATTATGCACTTGTTGGACTACACATGCATTATCACTCGCAAAATCTCCAAATTAAAGCCAAAAAACTTCAATCTAATGATAGAAAACAATAGAATAAAGGGAGAAGTTGCATTTTTGGATAGAGTGCCATCTCTTCTTTACAAGCTAACAGAACAGTAACATTGTTGGTGATTGTGCACATGTCACACATGCATAATTTTGTTAAATAAGTCTTTATTTAATACTTTAGATGTAAATGATATCCTTAATTGCATCTAATAGAAGAGATAATCTCTTCAATGATATAACTTAAATAAATTTGTGTCTTTATTTTAGACATTTGCCAATGAGGTCAGAATTAACATAACATAATTTACCAAAAGAAAGAGAAAATGCACAATGTCTTTTGTATCACTTAATAAGTGCATGTAATATTTTAATAATAATTAAAATTTAAAATATAGTAATACTATACTCTTTTTCATCACCTACTTTAAATTATACCTAAACAAAAAAAACAAAAAAAAGAAGAAGGAAGGAACGAAAGAAAGAAAGAAAGAGAGAACCAACACTGCCGAAAGGCACATAATGAGACATGGACAAGCAAAGCGAAAGACGACCAGCGTCTCTATTTTAAACTAAAACAAACAATGACTTTTTTTCAAAGGGCCCAAAAATTGATGACATGAACCGTATTTTATTTTAAGATTAAAAAGCCGATATTAATCAGTGTCATTACCACCAAAGTGGAGCCATGCATTGAAAAGTTTGTTATGCTTATGAAATTTCAAAGTCTCAAGTCACTCTCACCACTAAAACAAATTATTAAAATCAATCTTAAAAATGCAAACCTCTTACCTCAATGATAATTTTGTATGATAAAAATAAAAAATTTTAAATTTCAATAGCATGATTTGCACTAGAGTAAATTTAAAAATGAAAAAAAATTACAATCATTATATAAATATGGTGTCTTACACTTTTATATAATTTAAATTATAAAATATCAATTATTATATAAAAAATTCTTTTTGATAATGGGAACTTTTTCATTTAAAATTTTTTATTTTATAATTTAAAATACAAAAATCTCATCCATTATTTAGGATTTTAACTTTTTTATTAAGATGAAATTTTTTTTATTATATTAAATAA